AGTGTGCACAGGGAAAGTTTGTGCAGGGATAGAAATGGGACCTTCATCGTTTTTGACAAAGCCGGGCGGAGCCGGGTAAGCCAGCTAGTAGTTAATAAACATTGCTCATTACTTAAGACAGCCTTATTCTATCCAATCATTTTTTTTATTTCGTAGTTTTCAAAACTTTCCAAAGCTCCATTTCGTTTCTGTGCACTGTATCCCTTTTCTTTGGAGGGGAGAAATGTCAAGCTCCAGGCATTTTCAATAAACAAAGGCAGATAGCCATTTCTGTCTTGTGCCTAATGTCCGGAACCACTTAGCTTTGTTGTTAGTCCACACTGAAATACAAAAACTTTTTGGCAGAAGCTCATCTTGCTTTTATCTGCTGTCTGTTAGTGCGTTAGATATGTCAGCTCAAAGAGGTTACGAAAATTACAAAGCGTTGAACGGCATGAGTGAGAAACGTTCCCAGTGAAAAGTGAAAAGATCAAATCATTTGCTTGGAACTGGAGCGTGCTAACTAAAGATTTTTATGGAAGTACCTAAAAAGTTTGGACTTTTCGAAGTGAACGAAAAATCTTTGTGTGAATGTCTATTGAAGACTAATGGGTCGGTAAATTCGCTGGCCTAAGTGATGACAGGCCATTAGTTTCAGGGACATACTGTGTGATGTATACTTCACCGTTCTCTCCGCATCAACAATAATGAGAAGAATGCCTCTCATTCTCGCATTTTTAAACGAGGTCGATCCGTAAGCTGCTCAATTAAAAAGCTTATAATTAAAGAAAGGCTAAATGAAGAAAGTGCTCGCATTTTTTTGCTGTTGTGCTTATTTTAGACTGTTATTATTAGGTAATGTGATAGTTCTGTCTCATTTTTTCTTTCGATTTTTTCTTAATAATTTGTTCGATATTCTGCAAATTGTTTATACGCATTTGAAAGCTCTAAGCCTTCTCTACTAGAATTATCATTTCAACTTTTACAGCGTCGCATTTCGAAAATCAAACAAGGAAAAAATCCGTTTTTGACAACTACTTTACGTCGCCCTCCAAACTAGTCAGAATGCCTACGAATAAGCTCGAAGAATTTGCTACACTTGAGCAAAGAGTGCTACAGCTTCTATTCCGTTTCAGGAGTGCTAAAACTGAAAATCATTCCTTTAAACTTTAGAAAAATCTTCTTTTTACGTCTTTTCAACGTTGACGTTGGGCATCATCTGAAGACTTCCTGAGGTAGGACGGTAGGAGGATTATCCAGAAAAACAGAAGGGATGATTTATGGCGTCAAAATTATTGAATTCATAGACTAAATACTCAGAATCCGAATTCTGGGAGCCACACAGCTTGGGTACGCGTGACGTGAGTCTTGCTTTGCCGACTTTTGAAAAAATGTAGTTAAATATTTGGTGGAAGGAAGGGAGCAAGTGCAAACAGTGACAGAATAAGCGTTAGAGTCTAACAGATTGTTTTGCTTTCTGTCAGCTAATAAGTTTTACCAATGAAAAGCGAGGGAAATTTGGAGGAAAAAAGTGTCGAAAATTGGTTTTTTGGCTCTTCGGATTTTTTGTTTCAAAGCGAAAATTGCTTTTCATTTTCTTGCTATGTCGAAGAATGATGCACATGGGCCTACAGAGCAGACTTAGAGCTTTCAAAAGCATATGCACTTCATCTTAAATATAGTCAATGTTGTCGAAAAAAACTAAAGCAAAAAATGGGACAGAACTTATTACACGACCTCGACCTAATACCCTATTTTCAGGTGTATAAGCCGCACCCTCTTTGCTCTAAACGCGAGCAAACCCAGGCGTACCGACGCGCATATGTCTCGCGAAGCGGTCGCCTTATCGCGTACTACTCTCACTTAACGCGCTCCATGATGACAGTCAGTCTTTTGGCGTGTTCGCCTTTAGAGTGAAAAGGGTGCGGCTTATACACCTGAAAATAGGGTACTTACTGTTATTCATTTCCATCATTTGCCTCAATGGATGGTTGGACTTCGGTTAATGTACGCTTTGCACTTCTTAATCGTTTCCTCGAGTTTCTTGTCTAAACACAATCTCCCTTGTTTTGTGGAATGAGTTAAGATGCTTTTACCTTCTAATGTCTCGACTGTAGCAGGAGTTTTTTCACCTTGACAACTTTGCGGCAGTTAGTGTTGTTGCGTGACACCTGTAAAGGATCTAGTGAAAAATCTATTCAAAGGGACATTTATGTGTTCCTTCAAATTTCCTTATCTCCATTACCTCCGTAAGTCAATTATGCTTCTTTCTACTTTGCTGTTACCCTTCTCCTAGCGGTTGCTGATCGTTGCTGCTCTGCTTTCATTCAAAAGTCTGCTGACCATTTTCGGCAGCAGCTCTATTTTCCTCCTTATTACCTCAGTTTGCTCCTTCAAATTGATTTCTCGAGCTGTCTTACTTGAGCTATCCTTTATCTGCTCTTCTTTCTTGCCTTCCATTTTAATTGTCTCACTTATTCCAAAAAATTTCGTTTAAAACAACAATTGAGGACACGAGTATAGATTCGGGTAAAATATTGGAAATCAACCAATAGAGGCATTCCAGTAAGCTTGCTGGTGCTAAAGATTTGATTGATACCTCCAGCTCTGCGAAATTCTGATCTTCCCTTTTCGGTCCTTGTATGGTGAAGTTGCTGTGGATCGCTACAGTCAGCCAGCAATCTCCTTTAATCAATGCGTGTTTCGGCCACCATATAGCGGGGGTTGAATCTAGTGGTATGTGTGAATTTCAAACCTTCTCGACAGGAAGAGACATCACACTCACTGAAAGACAATGCTTATCCTGAGTTTTGTTGCAATAACAGCAACCGTATGGCCAACAAAAACGAACAGAAAAACTACGCAATTAAAAACATTCTGATCAGTCTCTGTCACTTTACTGGAAAACTCGGCCCATATTATGGTATTATGGTATTTGATATTGGTAGGGGGGATGTATTTTATTATGGTCTTTCTTTCTAAGCTCCCCTTAGCAAACTCACGGAGCTCTGTCATCTTCTTACGTCCAAATATTAGGTTGGCACGAAAGTTCTTGCGTAATTCAAACAAAATTCAATAACTTTTTAAAGGCTAAACCTAAATTCACAATCTTGTATGCTAAAAATATTAAAAGCCTTACGCTTCATGATAGATGTTTAAGCATAAGATTCCGCGAACTGGACATCAAGAACGATGTTCTCGAATATGGGGTTTCAAATTTTGCGGTTTTGAATTTGATGCCAGAAAATCGCAGATTGTCGCTAGCTAGCCGAAAAAAATCTGTAGAATTTACTTACACAACAAGAGTCCATATGCTACTTTGGAAGGCTTTGATCTTGCACGGTGAAGCAAAAACAAAAAATTCATGAGATATGTCATTTTGCGACAAAAATCCCCTCATGTCCGCAGTTCTCCAGCGAAAAACGCTTTTTTACAATCGAAAGAACGTCGCAAGGCTCTAAATAGACAGTGTGTTCAATTTCTGGTTGCAAATTGTGTTTCTGTGGAAAAATTAGAGCGATAAGGGGATTTGTCCTGTGAGACGAGAAATTTCACAAATTTTTTGTTTTCGCATTTCCATGCGAGATCAAAGCCTGCTAAAATAACGTATGGACTTTTGCTGTGTAATTGAATTCTACAGATTTTTTTCGGCTAATTAGCGGCCCTCTGCGATTTTGTGGCACCAAACTCAAAATCGCAAAATTTGAAGCCCCATAATTGAGAGCTTCGTTCTCGATGGCTAGCTCATGAAATGTTGTGCTTGAACTTCCATCATGGAGCGTAAAACCTCTAATATTTTTAACATACAAGATTATGAATTTAGGTTTAGTCTTTGAAAAGATATTGAATTTTGTTTGAATTACGCAAGAACTTTCGTGCCAACCTAATATTTATTCAACGTATATAAAAACCAACATCTTCTCGCAGATACATATAAGTTGCCCGACATATTTCACATTCCTACGATTGTGTAAAGACAAGATGAAAACAAGAAAAACGTAACTGAGCTTCAGCAAATCTTCCATTGTGCGATCTGCGAGAACGGCTTTCAAGCAATTATAATTTGAGAAGTCTTACCTAACAAGCTGAAAATTTTCGGATTAAGAATCCACGAATAAAACTTTAGATATCTGTAATCTGCATCTGCCGTACGCTTCTACTCGTGATAGGAGAACTAGTCTGAACCAGAAGTCTAGCGCTAATCTAGCTATGAGAAGCCCGAACCGTAAGTTGAACGCATGGCGAAATAAAAGTATGTACTTGTAATTTGATGTTTGATCTTTCTTGTGTTCTTATTGTGATAGTAGTAGAAAGCTACCAGAACATTTGGAGACTTTGAGGAAAATTTTCTTTGAAATTGTTTGTCAAGCTTGTTTTGAAATATGAGACTGGTTCAAGCGGACAAATAAAGTGAGCACGTGTATGTAGGATGGACTAGTGAAATTTGGGAAGCACATGGAAGGAGTCGCTTAGAAACAATTGAAACACATGACTTTGCAGTTGGCACATTTAACAAACTGCTTTAAGTGTGTTTTTCTCTGAACGCTTATCCGATGCGCCATGCGCCCACCTTCCCTAGTTTGTGGGCTATCTGTAGCCGAAGGCGCAGTCAGATATCTGCTGAGCTTAACGCCTGTACGTCGCTCAACAACAATTCAACAGATAAGTAAGGTAGATATGTGCATGGCCTAATAAAGTGGTTCTAAAGATATATCGCTTCTTTGGATTGGGCTTCTAGCTTCTGAGCGTTCTCTTGTATAGGTCGACCAAGCTGTGTCGGAGAGCAACGCTGCTGCGTCCACTGAAGATAGTTTATGATTGTGAGAGGCGCACGAAAAACTAGCGGCGAGAGTGCACTAGGAAAGAGGAGTGACGCGCAGTAAACACACACACACCGATAATTGCAAACTTCTCACGTTTGTTTGTTCTAAAATCTCTTACGAAAGCTCAAATTATTTGAGCTCATACTTAAGCAGTATTAAACTCTTACTAAAATGTCTTTATCTAGTCTATATGTTCAGAATAAATCTTCAAGTATGGAAAACGCCAAAAAGAATATCGCAATTTTGAGCATTATAAGAAATGGCCCGGAAAAAGCGAAATACAAAACAGCATTGGATTCGATGGAGTGTTACGCTAAAAAGAACAACTACTCGTATTTACAACTACATGGCGAAGACTTCAAAGCAGTATGTGGACAAGACGATGTGACTACATTGAAAAAGCAAAATTTCCATTTTCAAAAACTTTGCCAATGCCTTATTCCATCAGATTCACTTTCAACGTCATTGTATCGTCGCCCACATCCTCGAAACTTACAATTTTACGTGGGTGTTGCAAGCTGAAGGTGACATTGGTGTCGTCAACGAAAAAATGTAATGGTCCAAATAGATTTACAAATTCGGCAAATTCTTTTACAGGAAGCTGGAAGTCTATGTCAAAGAGCATACCGACATCATCTTTTATGAGAGGTTCTTCAACTTCGAAGTGGCAGCAGGTACGCTGTTATTTGTTCAATTATCTCACTGTCATGCTACCACCGCAGAAGTTTACGAAAGTCACTTTTACAATTTTTAAAAAGGTCAATGTCAGGCTCATACTTAGTTAGAAAGTCAACCTTCTCGATAGCCTTTCTTCGTGGATGGGCCGATTATTCATTTCGTATCCCAAAGACATTCGGTCTTTTGGACAATGAAGCAATGCATGTATGGAAATCTCTCTAAAAGTAATTGTAAAGATGTTGTCTTTTGCAATTGAAGATGTGGTTTGTGGAAGTGCTTGCTCCTAATGCACCACTTGCACCAGTCTGTTGGCTGCTGTGGAGAAGAGCGAAGAATTTCGACACTTTGTCAGACTTCACTGTATGTTGTCGGGAAGCAATGAAAAACGCTACACTCTCTCAAATATTTATTTATAAAAGGGTAAGTCGTCCACACATTTGAAAGATAAGTATTTATTTTCATCATCCTAGATGCCTGATTAATGTAAAAATAACCTATCATAGAACACATCGAAATTCACCCTTTTCTCTAAAAAAAAGAGTTATAAAAGAGTTTTTAATCTAACTTAGAGTATGCGGAATTGAACAATTATCTGCTCTACCTTGGTTTGATATTAATGAACTTATTGCAAGATGAACCAACAGCAATCATCCTACAAACTTGTCTGAAAACTTTGTTACAAAATAATTGCAAAAGACGTGCGAATACAGCGCATACGAGAAAGCCTATTGGCGACCAATGCCTCGATTTTATGAAAATGTGCTTGCAATATTGTAAGGAGCATGATCCGCATTAAAAAAATTTTACCGAAAGCAATAGAGAAGCTGTTTATGCATCATGCTGATAGCTTGTTTAAGAAAGATTCAAGATTTGGTTAGTTCATAAAGCTGAAACTCCTTGTCACATCAATAATGAGCAAATTACGTCAGAAAGAGTCAAGTATGTTGAAATGTTAGATTGGCATAGAATCCAAGCGTTGCCATCTCACTTGCAGTACTATACAGGGTCACAAGAAAATGTTCCTATAGTTTTGTTGTAATGAAAGTTCGAGATGGGAAGTACCATTTTTTAGAGCTAAAAAAAATACTCAATAATATATAATATATAATATATAAAAATACTCATTTCTATGCAGTTGAAACAAGCTATTCACTGCAAAAAATCACTATTTCTACAATAAGCCATAATCTTCTACAATATGTAAATCTGTGGAGGTTATGATGTCACAACAATGGATTCAAATAATATATTAACATTTAAATACAACCACAAAATGCTCAAAGTAGAAGAGCTTCTCGCAGCGCGCACATCGGATGAAATATAAACGATGACAATCAGCAGCTTCACAATTGCCTATCAAAGTCGGTGAAACAGTACTCAATAGAAGACTCGAATTCGCCGGGGTGGTTGTCAATGTATCCGGCTGCATGCCATGGGTATGAAGGGAAAATTTTGAATCGCGGCGAGCAAAACTGGTGTAAATGAGCCATTCACAAGGATGGAATCCCTATGATGCAAGGTAAAGTTCAGATCGAGAGCCAATACATGGGATGTGAATCGATTGCAATTTTGCAAGTGTGCGCGCTGCGAGAAGCTTTTCTGCTTTAAGCATTTTGTGGTTGTATTCCGTACATGTTAATTTATCATTTGAATCCATTGTTGTGACATCATAACCTCCACAGATTTACATATTGTAGAAGATTATGGCTTATTGTAGAAATAGGACTTTTTTGTAGTAAATAGCTTGTTTCAACTGCCTAGAAATGAGTATTTTTCGTTTACTCTCACCCAATAGACTTTTTACAGAACTGCAAAACAAAATAGCAGCAACAAGACTCGAACCCTCGACCATCGGCTTCGTAGTCAGCTGCGTTGCCACTGCGCCACTGTCACACTGCTGCGTTATTCTAGCGCCTCGCTCATCACTGGGTGCGCTGGCTGCGCCGGAGGAAAATGGCCTTGTAACTCCCCGCACAAAAGCGCTCGGCACCTAGCAAAAGTAGTTTTGAGTTTGCCTTACGGAGGACGGTTTCCTAATATACAGTTCATTCCAAATGGCCACTTCGACCGAGTATCCTTCCCTTGTTAGATCTACGATATGGACCGAATCAGCTATCGCTTTTCATTACTGTAAGATTCTTTAACTTAGATCTACGATATGGACCGAATCAGCTATCGCTTTTCATTACTGTAAGATTACGATAGAATTTTCGTCATGTGGCGTCACCGTGTCAAGTAATTTTAAGAAATCGGAAAACTAGTGTGATAGGTTTTTCATGGACGCCGAGCTTGATATTCAACTTTGTAAAAATTTCTACATGATGTTACCACATTTTTGGCAACGTCGAAAACGGCTGCTACTTCTTTCTAAGAAAAGATCATAATGAGATGCAGATTTCATATTTGGACTAGCAACTTCAGCTGGCCTAGTGTGAGAGTTTTTAGATCGTTTTATTTTATTTACAAGTCAAAATATGACCCTCCACAACTCGAAAAATCCTTACAAAGCTTTTGAATCCTACAATAGTGGAAAGACATAAATGAATTAGTCTGCACTACAAATCTAAGTTGAAGCCAGCTTTACAAAAAAATACCCAAAGCTTCTCCAAAACTTCATGAAAAGTGAGTTGTTAAGAATCAAACAGTAAGCACATTCTAGGACACTCTGTATGATATGTTTAGGACTTTTTTGAAATTAGGGTAATGGGACAACTAAGCTGTCTGTCCACCACTACCTGTCTGCTAGTCACTACAATTATGACAGCAATGTCATAGTTGGAGAGAGAGGGGAAGGTTTTCACCTTTCGTTACCTGTATGAAAGATATAAAAGATACATGACAGTTCCCGTTAGTCGGCACAGGAAACACTTGAGGTTATTAATGCAAGATGACCTCTTATTGATGTTTCGCGTAGCCAGGCTTGGCACACTTGGAACCGGTTTAAGCTGAATATCGTTCCGAAGAAAGCAAAGGAAATCTTGTTTTATAGGGTCCGAAGCGTTGCCCTAGAAAAAATTGCAGAAATGTGTATCAACAATTTATTTTGCAAAGAGAATCAGCAACTTCTACAGATCGCCACATGCGCATCACTTTAGCATGTAAATGGCGTGCTCGTAGCATGCTTAGTCTTAACTTGACCACGGCATGCTCCAACATAACGCGTGAATTCGACATTGTGCTCCAAACAAACAAATATTGTATACAAAACGTAATGATATGATTTCGTAGAGCTCAAACAACTATGGATCAAAATTTTGAAGACTTTTGTAAATGAAATGCGTGAGCGACTATTTCTCCAATTAGCAGGTACGGCTCCAGGGTACCAGCTGAGCATTCAATCTTCTGCTCACATAGTATTTCATGTTTTTTTCTAATAAGCTGTATCTTCAATCTAGAAAAGAACAGGCAAAATCTGGCAACATAATCTTTTCTCTAGGATTTTTGTTCTCCTCAAACGAACTCCATTGCTGATTTGCTCCAGACGAAAAACGCTGCCCAAATAAATTGATGCGCAAATGTTCCATCTTTTCGAATGTCCAATGGCGTTATTCTTTCCTTTCTATTCCTCTTTTCTTGTTCTTTGATGTTGTGCTATTCATGAGTTTTTTTTAATCATTTTCAGAGAAGAGAAATCGGCACATGGAGGGGAAAGGTAGGTAGGAGGGAAAAGGAAATTTTTGGCGGGGATGGAGGAAGTTGGAAGAGGGAGGAAAAAACAATTAAGAATTACAGAAGATCAAGAAAGACTTTGTGAATTCTCGCAAAACCAGGAAAATTTTGTTTTGGTCTATTGGTTTCTTCTCATGCAGAAAATTCGCATGGCCTATGAATCATGTCTATGGAAAAAAGCACAACACAAGCAGAAGAAAAGTCTTTCCGATTTGGAAGTTTCGATGGTGTTAACTTCATCTATTAGGTTGTTGCAAAAATAATGTTCGTTTTTCTAGGCCTATATTCCAAACAACTTTTTTCCATCAAACTTTTCTTTTCAATACAGAATCTGTACATCAGTGAATCATCTTTATGGTCTTTCTAACGGTGGTGGAATTAAACTGCTATCCTCGTCTGTAAGAATTTCATCAGCATTTTGCGCATCCGCACTCAGAATTGGAATCTCATATCTTTCACTTTTAACCACAATTCAAAAGTAAGTGGACGAATTCTTCTGAAAACATAGCAGTTGTATTAAATGAAAATTGTTTACCTACTGCGTGCTTATGTAAATTTTTGAAACATCTGGACTGAGAAATTGACGCCTCGAAATAGATACTTGCTGTTGCCATTATATGGGTCAGAAATTTCCCATAACTAAGGCAATCGCCAAAGCTCCGCCCATTTCTGTTAGTTTGAGATTAGCACACCTTAACTACAATTTTAAGAGAAACTTAGCTATTCAATGCGCGAAGAATTCCAAATTTTCATAATTTGGCACTTACAAGCCTACGACAAGTGGGCTCAAAAAATGAACATTTTTGAATTTTTATCTTTTCTTTTCGCACAACTTTTTCGTTCGAGTCTTTTCTATACACACGTAAATTCATGGCCTGCGGCTACAAAATGAGCTAGTTGCAACCATACGAACAAAACTTAAAGGGAGTTGTAAGCTATTAAAGAGGAGGTTTTCAGGAAAAAAATCTTTCAGTTTTTCGACGCATAGTTTTTTCCCGTTTGCGTTATCAGTATGAGCAGGTACGCGCTAAATTACGAAAGGTTTGCTGTTTTTGACTTTCCTGACTGCATTCAAAAATATGAAAAATCGAAGTTATAGCCTTCCATAGTGAAAATTTGCAAAACGGAAGTTGATTGCAACAACCTAGTTTTTTATCTACTCTGATTTCTCCCTCAACTGCACTAAAATGTGGTCAAAAGGCCGCATTTCTGTCATATTTACAGCGACTATTTTCGTATGCGTGGCTTATAGTTAGCACGTTCATGATTTTCTTGAGCTTTTGTTCAAAGAGTAGCGGATTTTTTTGCGGTCAGAGGGCGCTGAAGGATTTTCCCGCATACTTGCTGCTTTGGATCGCACCTGAACATGATGAACAAATCAGGACGCTCCTACCTTTATAGGTCATAATATTCTGAGTGAATCAGCATCGTGCTGCCTGAAGAAACACGCCAAGTTTAGTAACATGTTCGTCTTAGCGACAGCATCCCGCAGCTTAGAATCGCCTGCACCTAGCGCTCGCTGGAATCAACGTAGAGAAGTTGTTTGCTTTTAATTCTGGTGTAAAATCAAATCAAAGACTAGAGTAGGTGGCGACTTTCAAGGTGTGATGGACGTAGACCTTATGCGATACGCCTAGAAGCCCATTGCAGATCCAGTATTTTCCATTGGTACGGATACCAGTGATACGATTTCTCTCAAAATGTATCACCCCAATTTCACGTGTACGAAGCCCGTCTTTTCGATTTTTTCA